AGTGTGGAGATAACGAGGTTAGTTCAATCAGGGAGGGTGAGGTGCTCTGCAGAGGGTCCTGTGGCACCTTTGAGACTAACAGAAGTACTGGGAGCATAAGCTTTCGTGGGTAAGAACCTCACTTCTTCAGATGCAAGTAATGGAAATCTCCAGAGGCAGGTATATATCAGTGTGGAGATAACGAGGTTAGTTCAATCAGGGAGGGTGAGGTTGCTTTTTATAAAATTTCTCGATACTTTAAAAATGACTGCTTCATGGAGCAGCTGGTACGGGAACCCACAAGGGGAGAGGCAACTCTAGATTTAGTCCTGAGTGGAGCGCAGGAGCTGGTCCAAGAGGTAACTATAACAGGACCGCTTGGAAATAGTGACCATAATACAATAGCATTCAACATCCCTGTGGTGGGAAAAACATCTCAACAGCCCAACACTGTGGCATTTAATTTCAAAAGGGGGAACTATGCAAAAATGAGGGGATTAGTTAAACAGAAGTTAAAAAGTACAGTGACTAAAGTGAAATCCCTGTAAGCTGCATGGGCGCTTTTTAAAGACACCATAATAGAGGCCCAACTTAAATGTATACCCCAAATTAAGAAACACAGTAAAAGAACTAAAAAAGAGCCACCGTGGCTTAACAACCATGTAAAAGAAGCAGTGAGAGATAAAAAGACTTCCTTTAAAAAGTGGAAGTCAAATCCTAGTGAGGCAAATAGAAAGGAGCATAAACGCTGCCAGATTATTTGCAAGAATGTAATAAGAAAAGCCAAAGAGGAGTTTGAAGAACGGCTAGCCAAAAACTCCAAAGGTAATAACAAAATGTTTTTTAAGTATATCAGAAGCAGGAAGCCTGCTAAACAACCAATGGGGCCCCTTGATGATCGAGATACAAAAGAAGTGCTTAAAGACGATAAAGTCAGTGCAGAGAAACTAAATGGATTCTTTGCTTCAGTCTTCACGGCTGAGGATGTTAGGGAGATTCCCAAACCTGAGCCGGCTTTTGTAGGTGACAAATCTGAGGTAACATTAACAAGTCACCGGGACCAGATGGCATTGCCCCAAGAGTTCTGAAAGAACTCAAATGTGAAGTTGCGGAACTATTAACTAAGGTTTGAAACCTGTCCTTTAAATCCGATTCTGTACCCAATGACTGGAAGTTAGCTAATGTAACGCCAATATTTAAAAAGGGCTCTAGAGGTGATCCCGGCAATTACAGACCGGTAAGTCTAACGTTGGTACCGGGTAAATTAATCGAAACAATAGTTAATAATAAAATTGTCAGACACACAGAAAAACAAACTGTTGAGCAATAGTCAACATGGTTTCTGTAAAGGGAAATCGTGTCTTACTAATCTATTAGAGTTCTTTGAAGGGGTCAACAAACATGTGGACAAGGGGGATCCAGTGGACATAGTGTACTTAGATTTCCAGAAAGCCTTTGACAAGGTCCCTCACCAAAGGCTCTTACGTAAATTAAGTTGTCAAGGGATAAAAGGGAAGGTCCTTTCATGGATTGAGAACTGGTTAAAAGACCGGGAACAAAGGGTAGGAATTAATGGTAAATTCTTAGAATGGAGAGGGGTAACTAGTGGTGTTCCCAAAGGGTCAGTCCTCGGACCAATCCTATTCAACTTATTTATAAATGATCTGGAGAAAGGGGTAAACAGTGAGGTGGCAAAGTTTGCAGATGATACTAAACTGCTCAAGATAGTTAAGACCAAAGCAGACTGTGATGAACTTCAAAAAGATTTCACAAAACTAAGTGACTGGGCAACAAAATGGCAAATGAAATTTAATGTGGATAAATGTAAAGTAATGCACATTGGAAAAAATAACCCCAACTATACATACAATATGATGGGGGCTAATTTAGCTACAACGAGTCAGGAAAAAGATCTTTGAGTCATCGTGGATAGTTCTCTGAAGATGTCCGCGCAGAGTGCAGAGGCGGTCAAAAAAGCAAACAGGATGTTAGGGATCATTAAAAAGGAGATAGAGAATAAGACTGAGAATATATTATTGCCCTTCTATAAATCGATGGTACGCCCACATCTCGAATACTGCTTACAGATGTGGTCTCCTCATCTCGGAAAGATATACTGGCACTAGAAAAGGTTCAGAAAAGGGCAACTAAAATGATCAGGGGTTTGGAACGGGTCCCATACGAGGAGAGATTAAAGAGGCTAGGACTCTTCAGCTTGGAAAAGAGGAGACTAAGGGGGGATATGATAGAGGTATATAAAATCATGAGTGATGTGGAGAAAGTGGATAAGGAAAAGTTATTTACTTATTCCCATAATACAAGAACTAGGGGTCACCAAATGAAATTAATAGGCAGCAGGTTTAAAACAAATACAAGGAAGTTCTTCTTCACGCAGCGCATAGTCCACTTGTGGAACTCCTTGCCCAAGGAGGTTGTGAAGGCTAGGACTATAACAGCGTTTAAAAGAGAACTGGATAAATTCATGGTGGTTAAGTCCATTAATGGCTATTAGCCAGGATGGGTAAGGAATGGTGTCCCTAGCCTGTTTGTCAGAGGATGGAGATGGATGGCAGGAGAGAGATAACTTGATCATTGCCTGCTGGTCCACTCCCTCTAGGGCACCTGGCATTGGCCACTGTCGGTAGACAGGATACTGGGCTAGATGGACCTTTGGTCTGACCCACTACGGCCGTTCTTATGTCCTCATCACTCTCGTCACCATGCTGCCGTCGCCTTCTCGCCTGGTTTTGCTTTTGCAGGTTCTGGTTCTGCATATACTGCAGAATAATGCACCTGGTGTTTACAGTGCTCATAATTGCCGCGGTGATCTGAGCGGGCTCCATGTTCCCAGTGCTATGGTGTCTGCGCTGAAAAAAGGCGCAAAACAATTGTCTGCCGTTGCTCTGACGGAGGGAGAGGCGACTGATAACATGGCTTACAGGGAATTAAAATCAACAAAAGGGGTGGCTTTGCATCAAGGAGAAACACAAACAACTGTCACACAGAATGGCCCCATCAAGGATTGAACTCAAAACCCTGGGTTTAGCAGGCCGTTGATTTCACGGAGGGAGGGAGGGAGGAGCAAATGAATACAAATGAATAGAAAACAAAACTGGTCTATTTCTTGTTTTGATCCACTCCATCTATCTTATACATCTTAGGCTGGCAGCAGATGGTGCAGTACCACTGCTAGCCATTGTCATCTCCTGGCTACTTGCCAGAAGATGGTGCAGTACGACTGCTAGCCATCGTCATTTCCTGGCTGCTCACCAGAAGACGGTGCAGTACGACTGCTGGCAGGACTGAGTCTCCAGGACACGAAACTTAAAAAGGGAATGACCTGGCTGAGTCACTCCCATGTCTGCCCAGGCGCCCCTGACCGACCTCACCGAGGTCGGCTAAAAGAGCAGCCAGGAGTATGACAACGATAGCTACCAGGCGTAATGCACCGTCTGCTGCCAAAAGGCAATGAGCTGCTGCTGTGTAGCAATGCAGTCCCACGTCTGCCAGCACCCAGGAGACGTACAGTGACGGTGAGCGGGCTCCATGCTTGCTGTGGTATGGAGTCTGCACAGGTAACCCAGGAAAAAAGGCACGAAATGATTGCTTTCCGCCGACTTAATGCACGTAGAGGATTTTGTGTGGGGACACACACAATCGATTGTAAAAAACGATTTCTAAAAAAACGACTTGTATAAATTCGACCTATTTCGTAGTGTAGACATACCCTGACTCTCAAGTTCAAATCCCTATTCCTAGACAGCTGGTTGCTAGTAATCTTTGTTCTTAAAAATAAAACTTCATTCTGTGGCTCACCAGTTCTGCTATAAAGTTTTCAAAGTATGGGGCTATCCTTTCTACTGTAGCGATATTTCTGTTAATTTCTGACAAAGTAAGGTGTTCATGTTTCTCCTATTACCTTCTCCATCCTCATGTCCTGGCTGAAAGAGCAAGATGCCTAGTAAAGTTTATAATCTCACATTTAAAGATATGTAAAGATATTTGCTTAGTGCTGAGAGCAAAGGAAAGTAGGAGAGAAAGAAAAAGGGAAAGAGAGAGAGATCCTAGTATTTAATACTCTTTCCCTTCCTTCCTTTCCCAGCACCTGAATTTCATTATTTTGGTATTAACATAGATTTTGTACTGCCCCAAAATTTCCAGTGTAATACAGATTTTTGTTCCAACAACCCGTAAGTGCACTGTAGAAGTTGCAGGTAGGAAACTGAAGGTTTTGATAAAAAAAAGTGGCAAGATGGGGGCATTAAGCACTCCAGGAGATGGTTTGGGTTTTTTTATCTAACGCCATGTCTACACTAGCAAGTTTACAATGGCACAGCTGTACCAATGAAAACCTCTCCCGCTGACATAGCGCTGACCACACTACCCCTTAAGCTGGCAAAACTTATGTCACTCAGGGGGGTGGGGGGGTTTTCCACACCAATGAGCAACATAAGTTTTGTCGACATAAGTGGTAGTGTAGACATGGCCTAAGAGGCAGGTGAGACAGCTGACACTGGGCAGAGGACAAATCTTTTACCTTCCACCATGAGGGCAGAGATGACTTGAAAATATTTTTGAGAGGGGGCTGAATTTCCAGTTTTCCCTCCCAGCAACCCTTAACAGTAACTGTCCTACTGCCCTCTCCCTGATGTCTACCACTGCATCTAAAATTTGCTAAATGATTCTGCAAAACTGTTCAGCAGTGAAATAGTTAGCATTACTGACATTTATGTTGCCATCTTTAGATTTCTCTGTTAATACAGACTCAGGAAAACTATACTGGTTCACATTTGGAAGATTTTTTTTTCACAACCAAAAGGGCTAGAAAACTTTTTTAAAGTGAAAGATTCTGGAGAACAAGTCTGTGGTAAGTTCCACAGCTGCAAAAAAAACTCCTGGATCCTACCCAATGTCTTAGGATGTTGACCTTAGTTTGCCTCTTTTATTTCATGAACAGAGTAATCAATCATAGCTGTGGAAACCAGCAGCAAAACTTGTCTAGATAAAATCTATAAACTTACCAAATAGTGATAGGTAACAAATGAGTCTTCTTTGTCCCAGCAAGTTTCAGATGTTGCTTTTCTGACACTTCACATTAAAAGCTGCAAAATCAAAGACTGTACTTTAAAAGTCTTCAATCAAAAAGGCATTTCTTTTTTTCAAAAACAGGATATTAAACAAACTCAATTACCACACAACTCTTACCAGTTTAAAAATGAAAAGTCAACAACTGCTAGCTACTGCATGAGACCTCATAATTAGCCAGATCTCAATATACCTGAAGGGGGGTGAGGTAATATCTTTTACTGGACCAACTTCTATTGGTGAAAGCAACAAGCTTTGAAGGGGTCATACAGATTTATGAAGCACACAGGGTTCCCATTAAAGTCTGACTCTTGGAAGGGTATGGGTCAGAAAAGTTGCCCATAAGGTATCTCAACTGTTTTTCAACCCTCTTCCCAACAGGGAAGTATTAGAAGATATTATTCAGTAACAGACTTTTAGAAAGCTTGTATCTATACCAGACTTGCAACAGATTTGGCTTTTTACAAAAAAAATCAAATTAAGAAAAAAACCATTAATGGGAGAGGACGTACTGCATCAGATCGGTGGCCATCTAATCTGTTATCTTCTCTTTGATCAGGCCTAGTACCAGATGCATTACAGAGAGTGTAAAAAACCCCAAGTGGACAAGTATCAGAGGGGTAGCCGTTGCATCCGACGAAGTGGGCATTCACCCACGAAAGCTTATGCTCCAATACATCTGTTAGTCTTAAAGGTGCCACAGGACTCTCTGTTCCCAAGTGGACAATTATCTCCATATAAGAAATTTCTTCCTAATCTCAATTTTTTTAAGTTACCTAAAACTGTGCAAACAGATACCTTTGAAAGTATTAATGTAAAATATTTTTGCCCCAACTATGCAAAAGCTCAGCCTTTATAAGGGTGAAAGGTCTAATTTGCCTCATTCCTATCCAATGACTTCACCTCGTATCCACAGGCATCTTTCATCACATTTGAATGATTACTCTGACAACTGAAATCACATGAGGCTAAAAAACTGTATGCTAAATTGAATACCGGACCCCCAAAATTAAAACTCCTGTCTGAAACCAGCAATTTCTAGAAAAATGAAAGTAACCAAACAGATGGCATACCACTTCCACGCACCTAGTGAACTACTTGTGTTGTTCTTTACAATAACTTTTAAACCACCCTAATGGCATGCCAGAGGCATATGAGCCAGGAAAATCTAAATTAAACAGAAATACCATTCTACCAATGGTAATAGTCTATCAATGTGACATTCTATCAATGGAGATATACCCCTCAATCAGATTCAATCAGATTCTAGTTAAAAATCTCTATTTTCTTACATATGTATTGTCTAAATTAGTTGGTGCTTTACAACCGGAAAGAATAAAAAAAGAAAATAATACTTCCAGTACACAAAAAACAGGGATCTCTAATTTTAGGTCTGAGGTGCTGGGAGGAGAACACTGAAAAATAAAATGACAAACATAGGAGCAAAGTCTATCAAGCGCAAGGAGTTTCAAAACAGTATGTAGTCAATATACTTTAGAGAAGAACACAGACTTACATTAACTTTCAGCTACAAAAAAAAATCTTGCCCTATCAATGTTTTATCTTGATAGTAGATACAAGAAAGGATAAATGTGCCACTAATAATCACAATTATTAAAACAAACAGGCTAAAGTAGGATACAGAGAAACTGTATTTTATTATGCCTTGCACAACTGAGCAAAACTGCAGGTTAATTTCCAATTCCAGAGTCTTTATGATTGATGATGGTTAGCAGTGACATGTATGAAGCAAAAAGAACACGACCTGATTACCAAGTAGCAAGTCAAGCTTACTGCACAAAGCTCAGTTTTACAGTTGCTTAGTTGCACAAAACTTGGTTTGACATGGAGACCGACCAAGTTTGTTACAGAAGTTTATTTCTGGCAGTATTTGGAAACTACTTCATGACAGATTCATTAGCATTCCTCTGTAAAGCTGCTGGTCATAGATAAGCAGCTAAAATGTTATCACTTCCTAAGTCAGCAACTTGAGCCAAAAAACAACAAGCTATACCAGGGGCAGGCAAACTTTTTGGCCTGAGGGCCACATCAGGTTTCTGAAATTGTATGGAGGGCCGGTTAGGGGAGGCTGTGCCTCCCCAGCCAGGCATGGCCCGGCCCCCGCTCCCTATCTGACCCCCCCTCCCCCCCGCTTCTCACCCCCTGACAGCCCCTCTGGGACTCCTGCCCCATCCACCCCACCCCACCCCATTCCCTGTCCCGACCGCCCCCGGAACCCCCGCCCCATCCAACCCCTCCTCTCATTCCTGACTGACCCCCCGGGACCCCTGCCCCATCCAACCAGCCCTTCTCCCTGTCCCCTGACCTCCCCCAGAACCCTGCCCGACTGTCACCTGCTGCCTCATCCAACCCACCCCCCTCCTGACTGCCCTCCCGGGACCCCTACCCCCATTCAACCCCCCTGTTCCCCACCCTCTGACCACCCCAACCCCTATCCACACCCCCAACCCCAACTACCACCCCGAACTCTCCTGCCCTCTATCCACCCCCACCCCCGCTCCCTGCCCCCTTACCACGCTGCCTGGAGGCGCTACAGCTGTGCCACCCAGAGCCCAGGACAGGCAGCCACGCCGCCCGGTGGGAGCCAGCCACGCCATGGTACAGCACAGACACTGGGTCAGGCCGGGCTCTGCAACTGTGCTGCCCCAGGAGCTCACAGCCCTGCCGCCCAGAGCATTGCGCCAGCAGTGCAGTGAGCTGAGGCTGCAGGGGAGGGGGAATAGCAGGGGAGGGGCTGGGGGCTAGCCTCCAGGGCCAGGAGCTCAGGGGCCAGGCAGGAGGGTCCCGCGGCCCGGATGTGGCTATACTTCTGGGCTATACCAAGAAACACCACTCTGAATTAAGCTATCATCTTACAAATACCAACCAGCAGAGAGGGTAACAGTTTCAGTTTCTGATGTATGAGAGTGATTGGATATACAGTATTCTTACAGCTGGTGATTTATTTTTAACATAATAAAGTTTATTTAAATAATGTCACATTTGAAATTAATACTGACAGATTCTCTCTGGCACACAAGTTCCATTTGACCCAGGAGATGAAAGGGCCAGAAAACTAGTTTCAGCTCCCAAATTCTAAACGCCAATCTGTGCTGGTCCCACCCCAACGAGAGTTAGAGCACCTACATGGCTGCTTTAAGTTATACCATTAAGGACACTATAGCAGTGGAGAATAGGCATAACTCCACTACTTACCCTCCCCTGATGCTGATCATATTTATGATATGCCCCTACAATGGGACAGAGGGCAGATGGCATAGGAGCCAGCTGGGTCCGCTTCATGCCATCAAGAGAATTTCCTGCTGGACATTTCCAGATTCTGGCCTTTTTGCCCCACCTGAGTGGCATAAAGAAGCTACATCTCATTTGATACTCTAGTCTATAATACTGTGATAATGTATAGTACACTGCTATGGATTGGTATGTCTCAACTATGTTAAAAATGGGGATGTGTTAATTTCCTACATGCACACTGTGGCCAGGTGATGACACACTTAAAATATATGATTAATTTAATTATCATGAGGCTAAAACTTCAGAGATAGTCTCTTATCATCTGCAATACATAGGCACAATTGAGTGCATAAAAAAGGGCATGATTGTACAAAACCTTACTCACCTGCAGAAGTCCAACTTCAACAAGTACTGTCAATGGCTTCAATGGGATTGTTCGTATGAGCAAGAGTCTGTAGGATTGAGCCCTAAGAAGTTAAAGATGACTTGTAAAGGAAAAGAAGTAAGTTTGTTTCTCTCTGTTTTTCTTCTTTCAGATATATAAAGAAGTTATGAAAGACTCACCCTCACCCACCTGCCAAACTGTTTTTATTCTAGTTATTTATTACATTTAGAAATTTAGGTCTTGTTTACCACGTTTTTCCTGAAAGACTCTATAGAGAACTGAAGAAATAGTAGCATTATGACATCACAAACACCATGGAAGTGAACTATGAACAGATGGAATTTTTAGTTAATCATTCCTTTGTTAACAGCTATTTAATTCAAATTCTGACAAACTGTTGGGAGAAAAGATATCTTAGTTAAAAATTTAACCCATCTGCCTAGGGTAACCAGATGTCCTGTTTTCAAAGGTACAGTCCCATGTTTTGGGACTTTTTCTTATATAGGTGCCTATTACCCCCCACCCCGTCCCGTTTTTTCACAGTTGCTATCTGGTAACCCTACATCTGCCCTGTCAATTAAAGGCCCGGGAAGCTCCCAATCCACTTCTCTGAACCTCCAAAGAAACTTCCAGCAAAAAATCAAAAGGCAAGATTTTACTTTCCTAATATTTACAAGGCAAGACAGAGTGAGGGGAAGAGCTTTTGGAGAAAAAAAAAAAGACAACAAACCCAAATCTTGTTTAGCCTTCATCATGAAGAAGCAAAAAAGAAGATGCATAATTTTGTTTCTTTCTTTGACAATCATCTTTAAGAAAGGGTTTGGGGTTTTTTTGCTTGCTCAAGTATAGCATTTCTGCTTTCATTGTGCCATGTTATGTTGCAACCTAATGTTATGTAAATATGGTTTCATATAAGAAGTTCCTTATTTTGTTCTTATTTTTAAATACTTTAATGGAGTGGCTCACACACACACATCCCTTTGAAGTATGGTAAATGGGCACCTCCCCCCTTTCTTTTTGTCCATGTAATGGCACACCTGCCACTTTTTCTCCTTTGTTTGTCCACTTTGTTTTCCTTACTCTCAACTTTCCCTCTTTTCTGTTTATTTCTCCCCTGCTCTTGTTTCCTTTTACTCCTATTCCCCTCACAGCTTCTTATTCCAAGTCCTCAAAACATCAGAAGGTTACATATTCCTTGGAATGGTGAAAGCTCTGGAATTGGGCTCCATGTGGTCTTGTGGCTGAGCTGAAAACCACAGCAGCAGATAAGAGACCCTTGAATCTGCAGGCCCATACCCAAGAGTTTCTCCTGCAACTGGATATATTGAGGCTGCTATCTAAAGAAAACCCTAAAACACATAGATAGGGAGGGAAAGC